TGTATAAATGTTCATATGTACCTACCTAGTCAAGTTAAGTGCCTTAACGCTATTAAGTGCGCAATCATCACTGCCATGTATGTATATATGTATGCGCAAAAGTATTCGTAAAATCAGCTCAGAAACCAATTTTTGTGTTATTGAATCATATGTCACGATGACAATTCTATTAGCTAACGCTTCAATGGTTTTTTATGTGCGGTTGGCTGAGCTAATAATCACTTACGTTGGGAGATAAACATTTTTATGTACATACTATTGTCATATGTTGTTCAAACGTCAGCAGGAAAACCAGTTAAATGAACTTTATTTGGCGCTGTAACTATTTCTTTTTTAATTTACCACTTCACATGTGCAAAGGTGCATTTTTGATAGCATAAAAGGGTATAAAAAGATATTTATCTAGATTTTGATGGATTAGCTTGTATGTCGTCTATATGCTATGGTGGTGCAATCTAAATATAATAATATATTCATAAATTGTAATGCTGCCATGGATAATAATTCATGCCAAATTTCATAAAGATATCTTGTCAAATACAAAAGCTTTCCATATAGAGACTTAATTTTAATCGATCAATTTGTATGACAGCTATATTCTATAGTGATTCTATATCGGAGATTTCGACAAATGAGCTGCTACTTGGCGAGAAAAGGAGTTGAGCAAAATTTCAGCTGGATGACTGAGTGACTAGTTCGCTTATATACAGACATACAGACGGATCACTTATGTACGAGTATACACTTTATAGGGTCTTCGAGTTACCATTTGGGTGTTACAAACTTCGCGGCAAATTTAAAATACACGCTTCAGCGTATACAAATTTAAGCCAAAATCACTTAAGACCAAATAGCAGGGGTTACAATATCGATTTTCATATTTAATTCTTTGCATCGACAAAAAATTTTTCCAAAAAAAGATGAAAAAATTTTATCTATGAATATTTTTTTGAAAAAACATTAATACTTTTGAATCATTCTGCATTATAAAATATCTTTGATTGATTAAAAAACTTAATTAACAATTAATTTACAATATTTTCTAAAAGTTCCATTGGATTCTTTTGGTATTGGTATATTTAGAGACAACAAAATTACTAAAAACACGCCTTTGTTGAAGACTTTGGACCTAGTGCTTCTAATTCTGGCCAATAGCGTGATTCTAAAGCTAGTTTAGGTGTGTGATTTTGATAAGAAATGCGCCTGAAGGTAGGCAATGTCCGGTTTTTATATGTAATTCGCACTCTCTCTTATACTTTACGGTGATATTTAAAAAATTTGCTTTTTATTATTGTATAAACAGAACGTCCGCTCCGATAAAAAAAAATATTAAAAAAAAAAAAATTTGCTTAAATATACGCGATGGAGATAGTTTTCTTAACCAATTAATTTTTAAGTTTTCCTAAACCGTCGCCAATTTTTATGTTCGTCTGTCTAACAACAAATAAAAAAAAAAGTTTGAACCCTTAATCCTTTATTCCAAATTTTAAAGCATTTAAATTTCATGCTTATATTTCGAAAGCAAAACTTGTTTTCTCTCCCTATTCTTGACTCTCGTTAATTTCCGCCGAATTGCAGCTCATTTTACACAACTTATTTTGTTCTTTGTAACTTTTCCCTGCTTTTATATAAACTTGTAAGTTGTTGTTGGTTTATTTCTGCATTATAACGTAATAAAAGAGCGAGCGCTTAAAAATGGCAAAATAAAAATGCAAACTATTGCAGCCGTTGAACCAGGGAATCGGATTGCTGAACTATGCACAGCACTTGTGGAGGCAGTGAAGGGCAATGACCAGTAATTGGGGCAAGACTCCACAGTGAAGAGTGCAGCGCTTGAATTGAAATGCGAAAATTCCGCTGAATCCATGAGCGCAGGCCGGGAGACACTAGTATAAATGTATATTGCATATGTGTGTTTGTATGTGTAGAAAGTGGCCGAATTGCGTGCTTTTAAAACAGCGTAGCGGAACTTCCTGCTTGAACGCCTAATCGAATTGTGCGCTGGAATCAATATTTTCACGATTTTCGCAATTTAAGCGAGGACTCACAATTTACTAAATATTCTGTTGTTGTTGTGTGTTGTTGCGTAAGTGTTTTGCTCTAAGCAATTATTTTTTTTGGCAATTATGCCATAAGTTGTGGCACCGCAATATTTTCTAAACACATTACTTCCGGTTGCTCGTGGTTAAAGAACACCGTTACATACACACACACACACACTCATGTCCATTTAAAGTTATAGTTTTCGCACTTTCCGCCACACATTTTGCCTCGGTTGTGTATTGCAGTCATTGCCAGCGTTCTGCACCGGACTTTTATTGTCTGTGTGCCTGGTTTGGGTAATGGCTTCGGTAATTGAATTTTGCAGCTGTGCAACGAACACTTAACTAAATTCAGCTGACAAAGCGACAAGATGGAAATACTATCTAACTTTACAGAACTTTTAAAGTGTTTAGAACTATCTACTACTATATTTCTATGTTTGCAGTAGAGAATATTTGTGGCTACATTTTCGATTAATTTTAATTCAATTATTGGTTGATGGTAGACATTAAGGAAATTTGTGGTTTTTATTCCTTATAGTTAATGATATTAAAAAATTAGTTATGAACTATAGTAACTGGTTTTTTCGTAAAAACCCAAATTACAATTGATTAAGTAGTTAGTTTCAATAAGCCAATTAATTTTTCAAAATTTCAAGCAAGAGCTTACGCATTTTTATTTGATATTCTCTCCCGCGCTGTGTAAAATCAGTGCGAGAAATACTTCGTATCAATAATTTGTCTATTGCAAGAATATTTTCTAAAAATCGGGTCTCGACCCCACCTTCTGAACAAGTTTTGTAAGAGTTCAATCGAATCATCGATATGTACTCTTAGTAATTATTTCATCCCCTAAAAAAAATCGTTGTAATTCTCAGAAGTTCTATTCAAGATTTAAATTGTAGACCGGTTAGTCTTACCTTAGCTACAGAGGGGGAATTGATAAGTATCTAACTTATCTGTCGTAAACATATAATGTCGAAATTCGTTCAATATTTGGAGAGGTTGAAAATGAAATAAAGTGTAAGAATTTCAAATTGGTTTAAAAGTCACCATGCAACGGTTATTGAAGAGATGACTGTGGTGCCGTTAGTAAAATTGGCCATTCATATGCAATCAGCTCAAATTTGACCCTCTGGATTGGGGTTTTATGATCGTGCGAAATTTGATCTCAAAAATTTACCAACATGTTTCTTTTGTGTTTCATTGAAATTGCTCCAGAAGGGTTTTAGCGAACGCAAGTATTTGAGTGGCACAAAGCATTCAGTGAAGGTCGTGAATTCATTGAAAACTGTCCTCATGCAAGTTGTACATTAATGGTACATAATCGGTTAATAATGACGATAACATCGAAACAGTGTCTGAAAATCTTTGTGTTGGTATCAGAGAGATAGCAGAGGATCTCAACTTCTCTCATGCTTCGACTAAACACATTTTGACTTATTTTTTGGATATAAAGCGAGTCAATGCAATACTCGTACAAAAATACCTGAATTTTTTGCAAAACGCCGTCGAGTAGTGGTCGCAAAAATGATGCTTGACAACATAGCTGAGACTCCTACATTCATCAAAAGCCTTATTACTGCTGACAAGACGTCGGTTTATAATAAAACTTCGAAACATTTCAACAATCTAGCGAATGGCGCTCCAAAAACAAGCCGAAATCGAAAAAAACCAAAGTTCGCTGCAGGGGCTGAAGGCCATCGCAGCCTAGGCTATAGCAAGTGTATGAAAAATTGAATTTTCTATGGAGCCAATTTGTATTAAAACACAAGAAAATGTAGTTTATTTTCGTTCCGGGTAAAAGTTGATCAGATGGTATATCTGTGATCGGTTGCAAAAACATAAATAAGCAAAGCTCCAAAATTGCTACTATGAAAGCATTGGAACAAATATTGATCCTCCGCTTTTTGCCGACGACAGAAATAGGATCGTTCGTCTGATAGTATTATATGCTCATGATATGTTCTTTTAATCTAAGCTAACCCCATCTATAACGATCAAATTATATATTTTATCAATAACATGTGCTTTGGAAAGTGATCGATATACCAGTCTAATTGTTGTTGTTGCCAATTGATTTCACACCACTTGATCTCAATGCTGACTTATGCAACTTTCTTTTTTAGCTTTTATATCTATCCTAACCGCTTTTTAAATTTTCTACTTCAACTAGTATGTCTGTATGTCAACTAATAAAGCTTTCTGCAACCAAAACAGTTAGTTCATGCATTTTAATGAAAGTAAATAATCAACTAAATTGTTAATAAATTACAACAACATAAAAATTATATGAACAAAGGACAACATTGAATTTTGATAATTAGTAACAGAAAATGAAATAAATTATAGCAAAAGCTGCTGCTTACCTCTTCAACTAAAACGGCTTATTTACAAATTTCATCTCATCTCCTCGCACTTTTCTCCTCTTCATTCAACCAATCAATTAAATGAATCAACTCAAAATTATAATTTACAAGTAGCTAAATGAGAAATGCAACAACAATAATAATATAGCTATAAAAAAGTTGTGGTGCTTGGTTGTTTGTCGGTTGGTTGGTGTTGGTGTTGGTGGTGATTTCCGTTTTCGAACACTACGACATATACTTTTTTGTGTGCTAAATTGTTGTTCTTGCTGTTTTCGAAGCTTAGGTGATACAAATAAAAGTCTGTGTGCACACAAAAATTTATAGAACCAATACACAAGAGTGCTGGGGGGCTCACTAAACAACACTAAATACAGAGAAAACGTTTGTGTACGTCTAATGGATGAATATGGTGCTACACACACACACACACGCACACACGTGTAACATTTAACGCTAGCTGCCACAACACTACTTCCAATTTCTCTACGCTTGTGTGCTGTTGTTTTGTTTTTGTGGCTGTGTGTGTGCGACATAACAGCGAACGTCGTTGTTGTGCTCTCTTTTCAACTCTCTAGAGCTTTGCGCCTACCTCGAATTGGGACTCGCCGATCTGCTGCGCTGTTGTTGTTGCTGCTGTTGCTGCTGCGTCTGATCATTCACATAGTGCACAATCGCCGAAGTGACCTCCTTGATGGAACTCTGTATTTCCGGTGTGACCGGTAGCAGTTTGCCATTATCACCGTTCGCGGTGACGCCGGCGCTTCTTTGTGTGGGCGATGTGCGTTGTTGTTGCGCGAGTAACGACGAGGCCAAGCTGTGAAACAAATGAAAATACAAATGAAATCAGAGCGATAATGCGAGTACTGAGCGAGCGCGGCTCACTTACCGTTCATGTGGGGTGCGCTGTGACAGCTTCTCCTGACTGCGCCAACCCAAATATGGCTGCCGGTAGGAACTTCTTATCACACTACTTTGTCCGCTAGCCACCGATATGAAACTGGAGTTGATGGGACCGCCACGTGTGAAGGAGCCACGTTGCGATACGCTCGGTGATGTTTGTGACGAATTCAAATGCGATGTAGACCAGCGCGAGAATGCGCCTGCACCACCGCCGCCAGCTGTTGTGGCATAAACACTAGTGCCGGCGGTTCCATGCTGTTGCGCCGCCTGTCCGCCGTGATGACTATGCGCCGAGGGGCTGAGCAGTAGTGGGCTGCGATCGGACCTTTGTGAGCCCAACGAACTGAGCGATGTGGTCTTCGAGTTGAGTCCCGCCCAACGGCCGGATTCTGTGGTGCGTTTGCGTGTGAAATTGCCCGGTTTGTAGGCGGTCGTATTACCCTCCGGCGAGCGTGATGTATTCTGATTGTATTGTCGGAACCAGTCTGGTATGTTGAGGCGCTGCAGTGAAGCCTGCACGCGCAACTGGTGTTCGCTCAAGGCGGCCGGATTGTGATCGTGCGATTTCTGCAGCTCATTTTCGGGTGGCTGTAATTGGAGAGAAAGAGGTTGTTATTTTGACAGGTTAGACGATAGAAGTAGAAAGCAGGCATCGTGTAAATTCAAATTAATTTCTATTGAAATTTTCAAAAAATATGTGCAGATTTTGAGTTTGAGTCGCCTCTGTAAGCTTCGTTATGCTCATACTAAATGTAGTCAACATTTTTAGTGATGTCGCAAACCTTTTAAAAAATAATAAAACAAACATCATTTGAAAAAATTTCATCCATAAAAACAAAAATTCTCTCACGAAACTCTATTAACCTAATCTCACAAGAAAGCAAACAATTTCTTTCAGCGGAATTCCAATTTATTAGAGTTATAAGTAATATAATATTAAAAACAAGATTTCGAAACAATAAAAATGAACATGGAACTAGATTTGCAATCTGGAAGGAATGTCTCGTCGATATTTGTAATCCTCTCAGTGCGCATCGCCTAGGCCACACCCAATTCCTTATTGACTTGGACCAATTCCTGCTGATGCTTCTGCTGCTGATCCAACAATGCGTCCAATACCTTGTTCATATGTTTATCGCAGCTGGCCAAGCACATATCGGCATAGCGTGTAAGGAAGAACATGAAACTCTCCAGTTGTGTCATGCTGCAAGCCTTAAAGCCGGTTTCGCGTCCAATATTATCGATAGCATAGATCATGGTGCGCAATTTATGCATGTAGAGCGGTGACTCCTTCGAGTGCGGTATGACAGCACCAGCTATGCCCGAGTGATTTGAATAGGTCTTCATGCGTTTTTCCAAAGCCGTCAATTTCAGCTTTTGATGCTGTAGTTTCTGTAACATTTCCGGTATGGATTGTCTATGATTAGTGTCCAGTGATTTGTTCAGAGTCTTCTTTTGATCTTCTTCAAAGAGATTATCCAGCGTTTCAAAGTCGAATTTCGTGTCGAAAATTTGCTCACATTTTGCCTCATTGCTATTGCGTGGCAATATCAGGTCGGCACTATCTACCGAGACCACATCGTAGTAGTTGGTGCCTGTTGGCGATTCAGTGAGATGGCGTAATTCACTGTCATCAAAGTCGGAACCCATTACTGAACAATCTAAATCCGATGTTTTTATGGAGCTTTCATTCGAGTTAGCAGAGTTGTATACCGAACTTGGCCAAGCGAAACGACTACGTCCCTCCAATCCATTGTTGGCACCTTGTAGACCCACAAGCATGCTGTAGCTGCTTTCCATTGAAAACTTAGCACAAGAGTCCCAGCTTTCAGGCACTCGGGAGAATTCATAGTCATCGACACCGAAACGTAATTGTGTCTTTTCGTTAATCGTATCCTTTATGAAAGCAAACATGCGTTCAATCTTCTCTGGAGCCAAATATTTGCCGTTGAATGGCACAGCCAGATCACCAGTGGAGAACCAATAGTGTGAGCAACCATTAATTGTGGGCAGACGATTCGAGATGTCGGCTTTGTCGTCTGACTTTTGAGTTGAGAATTTGTAATCATCGATGCCAAAGCGTAAATCACGTGTCTCGCTACTCTTTTGGCTGAATATGTCATATAGTAAGCGTAGACGGTCTGGTGGATTGTAGAAGACATCCATGTTAATTGTAAAGTCATCAGCACGTATCCAAAACTTAGATGCTCTCTCCTGTTGTTCATTGTTGTGGCTAACATTCAAATTAAAGGAGTTACCGAAGAAGCTGGTCTCCATGGAGGTGGCCGATTGAGGCGTTTGCGTTTGTGAACGATCAACATGTTCCAAAGGACGATCCTCGCGAATAACTTGCATAGCTATAGAATTACGACGAGAATCCTCGGCCGGATTCAGCGAACGACGACGCGTGGCATTAAGTGTGCCGATGGGACTTATGGACTGCTGTTGCAGTTGGCGTGCTGTATTGTTGTTGAATGCTTGCTGTGACTGGTTGTTTGTCATGCCCTTTACCGGTGTCGAAGAAAAGCTGGAACGATTTTGTTGTAGTGTCTTCTCCAGTTCAGGTGTGAGTTTGATGAAAAGTGGCGAGGAGCCTTTACTTCTTCGGGGTTTCGGCACAGGTGCGGAACGACGCTCTGGACTCTCCATACCATTTGAGCCAGTTTCGAAACCGAGATCAATAAAACTGTCGATAAGCTTTTGCAGTGTGTGATCCGATTGTGTTATATCCAAAGCTGACTTATTATTTACAGCAATTTTTGTTTCTGTGGACTTCTCTAGCAAATTTTGTTGCTTCTCTAGCTGCGACACCAGTGATGGTGACGACAAATTCAACTGATGCATGCTATGTTCGCGAATAATCTCGGGATCGCTCTCTGTTAAAGGTGAAGGATCACTTTCTGTGTGTGCCGAAGGTGTGGACATAGCTGTGAGCGTATAGGCGGATCTTATTTTTTGTGGTGTATTCAAATTATTCATGATTGTATCGTCATTTTCGGTATTCTTTTCTTGTTTCTCTTTATTTAGAGCTTCTTGCGCTGCAACTGCCATTTCGTTGATCTGGTTTTTTATCGTCTTATCTTCTTTCTGTTTAGGGGGCTGCATTACGTTTACATAGACAACTTCCTCCTGCTCTATTTTCTCAGACGCTTTAGCGTGATCGCTCTCAGAGTCGGTAGATGACGGTATGGGACGACTCTCGATAATGCAATTCTCTTTCTTCCAGGTGAGTGTGCGGCGCAACTTCTTCTTGCGTGCTGGTTTGATAGGTTTGGTAAATTCAAAGTCGGCTGCTTTGTGGGCATAGGCCGGTGGTGCGGTTTGTTCTGGTTGTGACTCATCGCTTGTAATCTGTTGGGTTTTTAAATTGGCACTTAGTGAATATGAAACATTTTCGATTTGAGTTTTTGTTGTACGAACCTTTGGTAAGCTAGAGAGTCCCGATTCACTTTCCGCTTCGGATTGCTTATCTGAAGATACCAATGATGAAAAATCTTGCTCCTTTCCTTGTTCGGAGTTTGATTTCTTAATTAACAATTCTGCCTTGGGTGGTTGTGGTGCCTGACGTTTCACCTTTCTCTGGGTTTTTCGATTTGCGGTTTCAGCGTGAATTTCATCGCTGGAAGTGCCGGTCTTGCTGTTCGACAGTTCAACTTCGACAATACTTTTATCGACGACTTTCTGTTCTCTAGTTTCCTTGATTATTTTCAAGGCTTTCTCAGTTTTCTTTGACACATAGCTATCACGTCTTAACACGCGTGCTTCAACGTTTTCCAATTTAGCTATAGCCTTTTCCAACAACACATGTACTTTCGATTTGGATTTAGTCGAAGATTTCGATGTATTAACTTCATCGCCATTTGCACACAACGAATCCTCGCTGTTCTCTACTGTTGTAATATCGAACGTAATGCCATTCTTCTCCATGATCCAGTTGTAGAACAAACGTTCCATATGCGCGTTTTGAAAGATTGCTTTGGGTTGTAGGCGTTCGGCTCTAGTGCGTCGTATTTTCTTCGGTGGTCCATAAGCTTCGAAGGAGACTGAGGCGCGCATCGATTCGTTATTACGTTTTTGCGAACGCTCTATCTTACGCATATCATGTATGAACTGTAGCTCGCGTGTCTTGCGAGGCAGAATGCGTGGCACCTCACGTTGCTTGGGCGCCAGCTTGTCAGGGCTTGGCTTGAGCACAACAGTCAATGTGCTAACATGCAACTCCTCAGCCTCGACTTCTTCATTGTTAACTTCGCACTCGGTTTGCTTAGCATCGTTCGGCTCTTCATCTTGCTCTTGCAGAGATTGCAATGCAGCTGCGATCGCTGGCGGTGGTGATGATATTGAAATGCGTCTGTTCGCTGCGTCATATTCAGGTGTCTTTTGTAGTTCAGCAAGTCTTTTCAAAGCCCATGAAGATATCTTTGGTTTGGGCAAGTTGAGTTTGGCCTCTAATTCACGCGCCAGCTCCTTGACTTTAGGTGGCTTTAGTTCACGTTCGCTTCGCTCCAATTCCTGCTGTACCGTAGCCTCCACGAGGCGTGCATGTACGCTGAACTGTGGATGCTGTTTGGACATATCCTCAATAAATTTGTTATACAGCAAAGCTTTATCCTTCACAGAGAGTTTGCGGAAAACATCTTCGGCGACTAGGCAAGCACTCTCGCTGTCGCTCAGTGGCTTGTCGGTGGTATGTTGACCGGGTTTCCGTTTGAAACGTGGACTGGGCACTGGACTAGGCAGACCAGTGCGGAAACTTGGCATACGACGGACCTTATTGGTTGGTTTCAGTATCCCCAGTTTCTTAGCTGGATTTATATTCTGCGTTTGTGTGACATTCAACTGTGTATAACCCTGCTTTTCATTGGAGTCGCGACGCATCAACTGATGAATTTTATTATTGAACATATGCGCCATTTGCTTAACTTTCGATTTACGTGAAACTTTTGGTGATTTTGGGCGTAAGCTTGGCGCTGGGACTATTGGCATTGACCGACGTAGTTCCTTCACTTTTGGCGGCTTCTCTTGTGTTTTCCGAATTGGTTCGTTTACAATGTTTTGTTCGTATTTTTTACGTAGTTGCTGTATGGTGCTCGTCTGCGGTGTTGGTTCTGCAGGCTCGTTACATATCTTTGGCGAGGCGTGCTCTTTGTACGGTGGCGGCGGTGAACCCATAGCTTTAAACATTTGAGTTTGTAAATTTGCCACTGCTGCGGCAACAGTGCCGGTGGTGGGCAATTTGTTGGGCGTATCACAGCGTGATGGACCTGAATCCACATTTACATCTTCATCGAAGTAACTCATGCAATCGTTGATGCTTTGTGACACATCTAGATCGGTTACTTGTCGTGGACTAGACGAATTCTGGTAGTCTTGTGCTGTATAATAACGGTCGTCCTCAAACGAGCACTCGAAAATCTCCTCGTAAGTCATCGTAGCCTCCAATGGTGTAGGATGACTGAGCCGACGATTTATTTGACGTAACTGCTCCTGACGTTCGATATCTCTCGAAATAGAGAGGCAATTTTGTAAATTTTCACTATTAAACGACGAAGTATTCACTAAAAGCGGTTGTTGCGAAGAATCGGCATTTCCGCTACTAGTATTTCGTGTTGAGTTGAGCAACATATTGTTCGTTTTAATTATTTTTTCAATTTTATCTAATTCTCGTTGATAAATAAGCACTTCATATGCGTGATTGTCTCCGGCGATTTGATCATTCATACTGAACTACCAGGATGCTGCGCAAACGTTTTATATCCTAGTCGACGGTGTGCTGATATATGCTCCCGCAGAAAGGTCACTCGCTGCGGCAAGCGACATTAATGAAAATGCGCGGGAAAAGGACAACAAGTCATATGCGTACGCGAACACCGTTCGAAAACGCAGCTAAACGGTATTCGCGAATTTCGACGATCTGCAGCGGATATCCCAAGACGGCTTAAGCAAAACCGCGGCTTGGGTTTATTGTCCCGCTAACGACATAATCCACACATGCAACTGCGCGTCGGCTACCTGTCATGCTGTGCGCCGCCGTTAAGCCGACACGCGACAAAGGATCGGTGCCGTGGCAGTGTCGAACAGCCTTCACACACCTGCTACCCGCGTGATTGTTGCAGCGCAAACCGTGAACAAAGCGCTTTCCAAGAATTTCGCTATATTTTCGGCTATGAAAATTCTGCTTTCGCACATATTTTCGCGCTCGATGCATTTGCATAACCTTGAACATGTTTGTATGCGAAATAAAATTAATGTGTATTCTTGCACGAAATTCTAAGAGTTTTTGTAATTTTTCTGCATAATTTCAGTTAGTACCGCTTTTTGATCCTTTTGTGCCAAAAACAGTGTTCGATACCCTTTTCACTGCAACACCCAGAAAAGTTGAAATATTTTGTCCTTCAATTCAATTCAATAATCATGCTTGCTCACAATTATGTAAATTTTTATTTGTGTATTTATGCAAAACAAAAAACAGTAAAGAAGAAAGTGTCACACATTATATTGTTTAATCCAGGTTAAGGTTTTCATGCAGCGATTATCCTATAGATTTCTATAGAATTAATTTTTTATTCTACTACCCATTTAGTGCAGTTAACGCCATCTAGGAAATTAACCGATAATAGGTATTTAATTTCTTTCGAATGGAATAGAAAGTAATTTCTATCAAAAAGTATAATGGATTTTATATGCATATAGGTGTACTTCAGCAATATATCGTCATAATTTTAAGGTCTCGCTGGCATTTGTATTAAAAAAATATGAAATATATGATTTATTTTCACCAGTTCGAAAAGGTGTAATTCTATAAACGACCCCTAGAGCTAACGCATCCCAGACACAAATAAATCTTGGTGTCTAAATTTCCCACACTACTTTTTTTTAAACACTTTTAGCTCTTTAACATTTTCGTAGAAGTATTGTTGTTTAATTTAAAGGTTAGTTCATAATTTTATCTAAAATATTGCATGAAGAATTTTCGTAAAAGATATCGAGCTACTTTGTCTCATATAATATGTTTTATTTTACTTACAAGCCATCCTTTATAAAATTCATTTTGAATTTTGAAATAAATTTGCAAAATATTGTTTGAATATTGAATTTCGAAATTGTAGCGGAATTGTTGTATAGCATTGCAATACCGATTAAGAAAACAATTATTTATTTCTGGAAGGGCTGTATCGGGAGCTTATAATAATAAGTAACGAGTTAGTTTCCGAATACTCCAATTATAATAGGCATATTCCTAAAGATAATTATAGCTGTTACAATTACTTTATTCAATAGACTTGGTCGTCTCCGATTAAAGCCCCAAGATATCCTAGTTCTGCTCGAACATTCTAATTGATGTACCTACACGTATACTACTATTAACTACTAACTATTCCTGCTCAACCACTACGAAAATAACTGAACTGTCAATATAACAATTAACAATATTTCTTTCAAAATAATACTAATTCTATCATTTACTTATCAGTTTAATTTCTGTATCTATAATTTACCTATTCTTACAAATTAATTTACCAAATCAATGTTTGGAGAAGTGTACTGAGCTGTTGGCCCCACAAAGGAATTAGTAGTCGCTCAGTTCGAACTACAATCGCTTTTCCCGCTGGGTATTTCTCTGCATATTCTGCATTCAAGTTCAATTTCAAATATGTGTCATTTAAAGCAATCAACAAGTTGTTATTGCTGTATTTGGTTTTATTCTCCAACTACAATTTGTGTCATAAGTCAAAGCACATTTACCTGTATATACATTCATTGTATTCACAAATTTCTAAATATATTTTCGTATGAGCTGAATTGTTGCCTCATGTAAGTTTGATTGTGCGAAATGTTCATAAATCCCAGCGCAGTAAATGGTACCGATAAAAGCTTGTGAAGTTGATTGATGAGTTTTTAAGTACTACATAGTTATGTAATTGACGACTAATATAATCTATAGAGCACGCTGGATATACTCTCAAATAGATAATCAAGTATTGTGCGCATATTTGACGGCTCACACTCGTTTATTTGCAGAGAAAGTATAGCAATACAGATTTTTTAATGCAATAACAAAATTGATGGACAAAAATGAAAACTAAATAATACAAATTTTTCCAGTATTTTTCTATATCTATAATATATTCTTTTCTTAGCTTTCAAAACTCAAATAATTTTCCATAAGTAGTATATGCACACTGCATATTTATGTGTCTAGCCATGTTACATATGTATTTATATTGAGTTATTTAGTTAATTATTATTTTTATTGCCCGGAATATACTTGAAATAGTAACTGATTAATATCAGCAAAATTTCGTTCAGATACACCTTTTCTTCTATTCTGAAAAATTCTCTGTTATAATTTGTTTTTGAGTTTCCACAAATTTTGTGTGTTGAATCATCATTGAATAAATCGAAATTAATTGTATAAGAATGAATTTCTTCTATATGTATGTATTATGTACCAAAGTTCTCTTAACAGAGCCCCTACATTGGATTAGTATAGTTTATTGTATATTTGATGTTTTTTATGAAGAAATGCTTGTATGTGAAGTAACCTACATATTTATCTTTCGTAAATGTATGTATTAAAGCGCTTGATTTCATTGATCATTGTTTTATCAAAAACTGTAAATTGATAGCAGCATAACATATAGAACGTCTTGGTTGTAAATATCGTATAATTAACAAATTTATTGATTGTTCATATAATTTCTCTGCTTGCCATAACACCTCGTTTAAGCATGAAACACAAAGCTTGTTATAAATATATAATGCGTTTTGTTTCACATTTTTTATTTGTTATATACAGTTTATACATTACTCATATATTGTATATAAATTAGGGTTGGTAAAAAAAAAAGCATTTTTCCTACAAGATTATGAACTTTGCAATGATTCATAATTTTATTAATTGAGTTATAGTAAAAATCAAAAGAAAAAAAAATTGCCTTAGAATAGTTGAACTTCAACCGTTAATATATATGTTTTAAACGGTTAGGCTTATGAATATTGTAATATACCTTCTTTACAGAGCATTCAATTTCCTACAAAATCCACAAAACAAAATATTTTTTCAAATAGTTGGAAGCGAGATATGAATTTGTCAATCTGATAATAAGTAAAACATATTGCAGTAAACTGTAAAGCGAAGGAACTTCCCATTACAATTACGAGCACATACTTGGAGAACATTTCTTAGAGAGGTTAGCAACTAATTTTTCAGAGTACCAAACGAAAACAAACATTATATTTTTTTATCCACCTTAATGTATATTCATATACATATCATACATATACAGTTAATAACGTGAGTCCAATAAAATAAGCTCTAACTCTGCACTAAAACAAAAAGTGATTTCCGCATGTTTGCAATTTACTAAAGTTTTGCTAAAAGTAAACCTAAATGGAAGCCACAAAAACTTATCACATTTTGTGAATATTTTTGCCTTTATGGTTTTATTTGCTTTCTCAAGCTATTAGCAGGAATTGCCGGAAATTATTACAAAACTTAGCAATATTAGAATTAATGAAGAAATAGATTTTTGAGGGATACATAATAACTCCCCGTTATTATGTTTTGAAAGTTGGTATATGTACATACCAATACATATTTATATATTATATAAAAATAATCGTCATTTCAATAAAACCCCCAAGCTTCTTTGGAGATAGTAAATATAACTTTGTGTACACTTGAATATATAATACACAGCAGGTTATTAATTAACTATCGTCTGTTGAGTATTGATAACTAAATAATAATTCAAGTAGAGGATTTTCAATAAAAGAAAATATATTACAATCTTGGATTTCTATGCAGTTAAGCCTCAGTTAAGAAGCAATAATTTTGCTAAGTACATAATCGTAATTCTATACATCGCCCAACCTTAAAATTTTTCGCCAAATCATATCTTTTGTTTTTCTTGCAATAATTGTCGTTATTTGGCTAGGTAAGAAAAAATGTATTTGCCTACCTGTCTGTAATTTCAAACTTTTGAATGGCTTTCTTTTAATGCTTCTCAAGGACGAATTTGCATACACTTTTTTATTATTGTTTCTGCTTAGTCTTATGACCTGAATAAAAATTTAGCTCTATTTAGTGTATTTCAATTATATTATCCTTCCAGAAATTCAGCGTTAAAATTTTTTTTAATAATAATTATGTGCATTCTACAGCTGATAGACGATTTGTCGGTTAATTAAGGTTATTTAAATATTAGACAAACAAAAAGAAATAAAAATAAATTTGAAAGTAGTTTTTGAAATTTTGACATTTGTTGAAAGGGGAGTACCAAGTATAAATTAAAAATTAATTTTATAAATATGAAATGAAAACATTTGTTCTGATAGCTAAATTGGAAGCTTGAAAGGATGGGAATATATTTTTCATACATAATAACGTATGTATATTTTCTATCTGAATTTTAAATTCATAATATCAATGTATTATATAGTACTTCGTACCCCTTACATTGTTCGTAATAAATATGAATATCAAATTTTGATTATATTATTTTATAGTGTAGCACAATAGAATATTACGTCATTACCAAACAAACTCTTAAAGAAGCAATTAAGAGAATTTTAGCAATTTAATCCCTAATTGTTCGCAATTTACCATACATTGGAGCAATTAATTAATTGCGTAATTAGTATTTAATTTATAATAATTTTGTGCAAAGTCCGCGTATTCTATTAAAAGAGAAAATTCTACATTTAGTGAGAAGACGAAATGTCATTAAGAGTTATGGCAGAAAATAATAAAATATTTTCATTTAATGCTGTTAGAAGCAGTTACTGTTGCCTCAATTAGTTTTAAATAAACCGTTCTTCTTTTACAAACTTAAGTCAAAACAAGATTGAACGAAAAAGTTTCTATAATAAACTAACAAAATTGTATTAAAAAAATTATTTATTATAACTAAAATCGAAACACTTTCAAAACTTGGAAACAATTTAGACAAAGTTTCAGAACTGATTCTTTATTTTTTAAGTAGAAACGATTCAGGGTTTCAAAAACACCAAGGTTCTTAGTGTTACGATCTGGAAAATATAATCGGAGATTATAGCGAGGCCTTTGATAAAAAGTCATGCCAAATTTCTTGAAGATATCTCGTCAAATAAAACAGTTCCATACAAGGGCATGAATTTGATCGTTGAGTTTGTATGGCAGTTACATGTATGCTATAGTGGTTTGGACAAATAAGCAGTTTCTGGGGGAGAAAAGGATGTTTGCAAAATTTCAGATCGATATCTCAAAAACTGAGGGACTAGTTCGCGTATATATAAACAGACGGACGGACATGGCTAAATCGACTCAGCCCGGCATGCTTATCATGTATATAAATATTTTATAGGGTGACTAACTTAATATACTCTGTTCAGAGTATAAAACGAATCAAATAAACTAAAGAAATCAAGAAATGAAAACAATGACTGTCTGCAGTCATGCTCTTCTAGCCGCTCATACACAGTGGGGCCCTTGGGAGCGACAGCTTAGCAAATAGAAATTCCAAAAAATTAGAAAGGGCAGACAAAAGCGATTAAAAGCAATTAAGGCGAGCGCAAGCAGTGGCGATGAAACTGGTGCACATTTAAAAATAGTTTAAAGAAAAACGAGGAAAAATTCAAGAAAAACACTTGCAGAAGCATGAAAAGTAAGAAAGCCCAACACAAAGGTGAACAGGTGCTGGGAAAACTTTAACAATCATAATAAAAAGACCGCAAAGGCAAACCAGTGATTTAAATTTTTTCAGCATGCTAACGAGATGTAAAAAAATACTATATTTAATAAGAAAGGGTCTCAAGC